GGGTTTGAGGGTCGGGGAGGAGGGTTTGTGGGGCGTTGAAGATGGGCTGACTACTGTGCTGTTTGTGGGTTCTGTGTGCGCAGGTGAAGTTGTCGATGGCGCTGACGAAGCAGATCTTGCAGTCTCTTCCGAGGCACTTCACCGATGAAGGTCCTCACGGCAAGGACCCCGGCAAGGGGTCGAGGCACTGGATGTTCAACTACTGCGAAACTCGGTTTGTCGGCACGAAGTCTGTCCTCAAGAGGCACTTCCTGACGAAGTGCAGTATTGAGCTTGTGACTCGGGCATTGACAGCGGAGGAGAGGGTGATGAGAATCGAGGGCATCCGGATGGGGAAGCCCCAGGCCAGTCAGCTCGAAGGTGCAATTGGTGGAAGTGCTGGTCCGAGCACAGGACCGTCTTCCAGTAGTTGCGTGCCTCCATCATCATCAGCACAGAGGTCGCGTACATCATCATCAACACAGAGGCCGAGTGATGGTGAGATGCCCTCGCCTGCGGGATCCGAGACATGCTTCCCTCCTGCCCCTGGAAGTGGTGGACGGTCGGTGAGGCAAACTTTGCTCGAGGAGGCGGACAGTAGCATCACCAAGAACGAGCAGACGAGTCGGAAGATGGATCGGTGGCTGATTTGCACGAATCAGCCATTCAACATGGTGGAGAACTACTACTTCCTTGACTTCATCGATGCTGTGAAGAATTGCCATCCCAGTTGGATGCCTTGCAAGAGGGACGAGATGAGGACAAGAAGGCTGGACGGGCAGTATAAGTTGGTGGGGCAAGACACGGGGTCACTAGTCAAGAGGTGGGAGAGAACAGGGTGCATGCTCCAGATGGACGGGTGGTCGAACCGGAGGAACAAACCGCACCTGAACGTCATGGTGTCTTCCCCAGTTGGAACCGTGTTTTGGAAGTCGGTCTGCATGGAGGGGAGGGAGAAGGACTCGAAAGCGTACTTCAAGTTGTTGGACGAGGTGATCCAGGAAATCGGTGCGGGGTCCATTGTCGGTGTTGTGATGGACAATGCAAGGGTTTGCGCCACAGCGGGAAAGATGGTGGAGGCTAAGTACCCCGGTATTTTTAGTGTGGGGTGCACAGCCCATGCCTTAGATCTGGCCCTGGAGGACATGTACAAGTGCATGGACTGGCTGAAAGCGGTCGTCGACAAGGGGAATCAAGTTGGAAAGTTTTTCACCAACGTCGACAAGATCCGCGAAATGTACAACAAGATCGCGAAGGCGCAACTCAAACATCCGGCGGTCCCAAGATTCGCAACAAACTTTGAGATGATTCAGTCGCTGAAGGGGGGGAGAAATGCGTTGGAGCTCTGTGTCTGCAATGAGGCGTGGGTGGAGAAGTTGGTGAGGGGGGAGCAAGTGGCGGCATTCAACGCTGTCACCCGCATCATCATGGACACGAATGGTTTCTGGAAGGTTGTGGATAAGGCCATTGCGGTGATGGAGCCTGTTGTCAAGCTCCTTCGTTTGGTGGACGGTCCAGGAGCAACTATGAGCAAAGTGTATTTCGGCATGGACGCGGTTGTGGCTAGAATGCGCACGCTGGACTGCCTGTCGGAGGCTGAGAAGGTGGATGTGGAGAAGATTTTGATGGACCGGTGGGCATTCATGACATCAGAGCTGCATTGCACGGCCGCCTTCCTCGACCCCGAGTATAGGATGCATACCTCGCGAGACACGGAGATTCGCGAGGGGTTCAACATCTGGCTTTACTCATGGGCGCCGCCGGAGTTGCTGAATGGAGAAATCAGTAGACAAGTGGACATGTGGGTGCAGGGATTGGGCACTTTGGGGTCACAAAACGCAAGGGACCAGGCCAGTTCAAAGACTCCGGCGCTATGGTGGGAGGCGTTCGGGGGATCTTTGGACCTCCTCCAACCGCAGGCGATCAAACTCCTTGGGCAGGTGAGCTCGTCGGCTGCGTGCGAGCGAAACAGGAGCTTGCACCAGCTCATTTTCGGCCAACGCCGCACGAAGTTGATGCCTGAGAGAATGAACAAGCTGGTGTATAGCAACTGGAATATCCAGTTGTCGACGCGGAGAGAGCGAGGGGACAGGGAAAACGTGCACATTCCGTGGAAGGACGACGAGCTGGCGGGCACGGAAGTTGATGAGTGGTTCGACCAATGGGCCGCACGGGTTAGGGAAGGGACAGCCGACGATGTTGCCGCAAAGGAGATCCGTGCAGACGAATTCGACGACGCCCCGTTGGAGCGCACATGGCTGCGGAACAACGAGGAGGAGAACTTTGGGGATGATGAGGATGATATCGCCGCACTCGGTGCGATGGGGAGAGCATGGCACGCAAACACGAAGCCCGGGAAGCACCGGGCGCGGGAGCTGCGCAGGAAGTCGGGTGTTGAGGAGCCTGAACCTGGGTTCAGGTATACGGTGGAGGACCGTGACCATGCAATGATTGGGTGCAGGGGAGGGAGGAGGTGTTGGGTCGCGGGCGACGCAAGAAGAAGGCAACAGCATCGGACGTCGCCGAGGAACAGCCGGTTCAAAAACGAAAGAGGAAGGTCGCGGAGGAGGATGCACCACCAAAAAAGAAGAGAGGGCGGCCTCCGCTTTCCCCTGCGAAGAAGGCTGCAAAAGCAGCAGCACGTGCAGAGGCTGCAGCAGCCGAGGCAAGAAGGCCTGCGAGGAAGAGAACGGCTGAGGTCGTCAAGGACGACGAAGAAATTCCGTGTCCTAGCCGGAAAAAGCATTCTTCTTCATCATCATCATCATCGTCCGAAGATAGTGCGTCGCAGAACATAGAGGAGGAGGAGGAAAAGTCCCAGCAATCGGACGATAGTGGAGAGGCGGACGGGGATGAGTCGGAGGAGGACCCGTCGCAGGCGGAGTCTCATGGGGAAGAACAGTCGAGGGAGGAGGACGAGTAGACATTAGAGAATCAGTATATTGAGGGCAGTGTGTCCTTGCCTGCTTTTGGTTTCCTAAAAAGACAAACTTTGCAAACTCCGCTTTTGGGATATTGACCCTGACACTTTTGTTTGTCTTGAATCTTGTGATGTTTCTCGTTTCTGTCTGTGTTTGGAAAAACGGACATGCTTGAATGATGCTTCCTATCTGATTGCACACACATCGCTCAACCAGGTGAGTTACTAAGTTCCAACTTCCAATCGCTGCCCCCGACATCATGCGTTGTGCACAGCGCCAGCGTGAATCCTGCAGTGTGTGTGTGTGTGTGTGTGTGTGTGTTCTTCAACAAAACATTAAAAAGAAAAAAGCAATCCTGCACAGTGTTTGTTTGCAACTTTGCATGTATGTGTGTGTTTGTGTGTGTGTGTGTGTGTGTTTGTGTGTGTGTGTGTTTGTGTGTGTGTGTGTGTGTGTGTGGTTGTCGCCAAAGTACCAGAAAAAAAAAAAAGAAAAAAAAGGTGTGCGCACCCGGCGCACCTGCGCCCCGCCAGAGCGCACCCCCAGCACACCCCCAGCGCACCAGCGCGCGGCGCGCAGACCACATGCGCAGCGCCCCGCGCCCCGTGCCCCGCGCCCCGTGCCCCGCGCACCCGGATGCGCTGCGCGCGCACCTCGGGTCCGCGCACCGCACACTGCGCAGCACACAGGGTCGGTGCGCCGCAAGTATGGAATATTTGCTATTTACTTAAATTTTACCGGAATTTAATCTTGAGGGAATTACTCATTGTTTTCATGATTTCCGATAATGGAATTAAAAAAATGAGAAAAATAATAAAAGATAGTAAAAGAAAAGAAAACCACTGACTGTTTATTATTTGATTAAATTTTATTAAAATTACTCGCGGTGGATTTTTGCCTGGAAATATTTACTTACCCCGAATCTGTCGATTCTTTCGATTTCCCGATAATTGTTAACCCTCGCTTGATTTACTTGATTTATCTGATTGTTATCCTCGCCTCAACCTGCGTGTTTTGAGTAAGTGGGACCGCATGGTCGCCGTGGTGTCGCTGTTGGTCCTACTTGGGGGCGGTGCCGCCCGACTCTATTATTTTGTTGTGGACACTGGATCGAATTGGGGACGACACTCTGGTTCGGGGCAGGCTCGTTACTATCACGACGCATCTGCGTGGTACGGTATTCGGCATCGAACTGGTATGATGACGGCACAGGTTGTTGAAATTCAGGATGGCACTTTAGGTTCGACAGGTTCTGCTTGGTATTGACACGGGCCATCGCCGACATGGCGCTATATTCCGTGACCACGCTCGCTGTTTCGGGGTTGGCTTAGTACTGCCACTGGGACGGTGTCGGTACGGGCTGCCTCTATTCGCTGTTGAGACGGCCGGAATGACCGCTAGTTCGGGCCATGGCATTGCAGGCTGATACTTATTTGCAGGTTCGGAATTAGTATGGCTGCCGGAACGGAAAAGGCATGTACCCTGGTTTGGAACAGGTACGGGCCAAGTATGGTGAAGGTATGGGCCACAATTCAACGCTACAAGGATGGCACGGTCTGAGTTTTCATGATTTTGGTACACTTATTCCTGGCCAGTGGCTACGGTCACTGAATTGACATCGGCACGGCCCAGGGACAATATGTTCCAGTCTGCCGCTTTTTGTTTTGGTATGGTGGGTGGTTCGACATTGGCATTGACCTGGTTCCGGTACAGCACACTGCAGTGCGGTGCTACTATGTTTCTGTACGGTTGCTGCTTCGTAGCTGAAAGGGGTCATTGTAGTCCGATGCTGTTGTTTCATGGTACAATACTTGGTCCGGTCCAGGGAAAAATTTACTCGTACAGTGATCACGAAAATCCTGGAACCGCTGGGCTCTGATCCAGGACTACCGGGTCAAACTGCGGCACCAACGGAATTACCGCTGCTGGAGGAAGGTACTCCGGGCCTGTAGGCTTGGTACCGCTGGTACCAATGGTGCCACCATTCCGTTTCGAGCTGGGTACTGGAGACTCAGGAGGGCAGCGAGCCTTACTGGTACCTGCAGTAAAGGCCACGGATATAGAAGGGAGAACCAGCGAAAAGAAAGGGGGGACATTCGGAAGGGAGAGACCAGGGCGAACTGGGCATTCAGGGACGGAGGCGACCATAGGGACCAGGGGGAACGGTGCGCGACCTCAGCGCACGGACAGCGATGGACAGTGACCAGGGACTGCAGCGCGCGAACTGAGACCGCAGGGAACGCATGTGCGTCAACATGAACGTCGAGGAGGCAGCAGCTATGGAGACCGCTTGTGTGTGCGCGTCTCTTCGTACGAGGGAGCTCCAACGGTTAAACATGATCGTGATTGCTGGAGTACTGCCTATGGTGAGGCAATCTGGGCCTGAGGCATTACGGTAAAATACTTTGACAGTGATGTTGCTGGAGAGGACTGAAACACGGCCAGTCAAGACCGTGAGGAAGCTTGCTGTTGTGTCACACCTTCCAGGTATACCACGGGTGCTGTTGTGTCACACCTTCCAGGTATACCACGGGTGAGACTAAGGAACGACTGATTCAACAACGTCCTGCGATGGACTACTAACTAGCTTCTGAATCCCGCGGTGCCTAACGAGTCAGGGACTGACGAGCAAACAGTGTGTGGGGTTATGGTTAACCCTTCTCCACAGCAGCATTACCTGGTGAAACCTGGGAGTAAATGATCCGAGCAGCCTCAGGGAAGCGGCAGGCTGCCAGATGGCGGGTGTCAGAGCCTCGTCTGACAACCTGCACCGTGGTAATCAGAGGGGTCCAAAGACGAAGCCGCACTCTTCATCTGTTCTCATCAATGGCCTCTTCGCCCAACTCACCCTGTTGGCAAAGTATCAGACCCAAAACATACTTTTATCTTGTTGGATCATCTAATTGCAAGGTACACTCACTGGGATTTTTCTTTTTATTTTGTGGTGGAATCGGTCTATAATTGCTGTCAGATACATCCTGGAGAGTCTTAAAGTGGTGATTATGTCCTTAATAATAATAATAATAATAATAATAATAATAATAATAATTATTATTATTATTATTATTATTATTATTATTATTATATTAATTTATTATTATTATTGTTATATTTTATTTTTATTATTATTATTATTATTATTATTATTATTATTTCTTCTTCTTTTCTGGGGTGAAGATTCGTAGGTATTGCTGGTTTGCCGAGCGGTGCAGGATCTTGAAATCATTCACCCATTGGAGAGGACAGAATCTAGCCGTCATTAGGGTCGAATACTTACAGGAAAAGTGCTGGCGTAAGGATGCACTGAGTAGGACAGACTCTGGTCATAATTGCCCTCCTGATTATCACCGTGCTCCCGCTGTTGCAAGGACAGCGCTAGTGCGAGGGCATAATAAGTAGAGAAGAATCTGGTCATCGTTGCACCTAGGTACAAGCATGGAGGGTGCTAGTGTGAGCTGCCCTAAGCAGCAACGCTACAGATAACTTCTTGCCTCCCACCATCAGAAAAGGATAGTCTGGAGCATCATCATCTGTTCGGACATCTCACTCAGTCCCTGAAATGCTGAATGGGGCCAGATCACCTTCAATGGGTCAGATCACTTTCGATGGGTCGCAATTGCGCGCTTGACCAGCAGCTGCTCGCCGTCCGAATGGGGACTGTGCCCCTCTTCGCAGTTTCTCCCTCAATGAGTTGCTAGCGGCTCTCCAAGACAAAAAAAAGCCCCCACACAAAAAAAAACAAAAATGCACAGACACGTGCCAGCATCCGCACTCTATTGCGGGAAGGCCGGATGGTGAGGGGGTCTTCGACAGGGGGAGCCTCTTCGAATGCCGAGGCGAGTGATGTCCGCTGGCTGGGGCTGGATGGACATGCAGAACGAATCTGGGAAAGTTGAACTGTTGAGGGAGGAGCATGGGGATGAAAATGAAGGCGCGGTTGGTTGGAGGACAGATGAGCGCAGGCGGTGCATTGCATCAGGGGGGGATCGATCAATGGTGCAGGGACAGACGCGCGCGGGAGGGAGAGAGAGAGAGAGAGAGAGAGAGAAGATCTTGCTGAATTGGGAACGGACTACGCTGCTGAATATAGTGCACTTGCACCCAGTCTTTGACGGTTGATATGTGAACCAGAAAACTTGCCTGCGTCAGATTCATAGGGGACTTCGGCTGCAGTGATAAATTTTCTCTGACCCTGATCGGGCATGTGAACGTGTATAAAATCACATGCTGAAAGAGAGGAAATAGCCTGATATATGGAAAACGAAAATCTCTGAAAAGTGCTTCACAACAGCTGCATGAAATTGAAATTGGTTTCCGCGCGGCCTTTCAACATACACGCATGTTAGCGCTCGTCACTTTTGAAAGACGTCCTCAATTAAAGATCGGGCGTCATGTTTTTAAGGGGGGCTTCAAAACAGGGACTTTGACCGTCCAGATTCTCAAATGCTTCAGATTTGGACATAACGGTATTAATTTCAGAATGGATGTTCTTTCGGAAATCCGGTGAAGTGAATTGGGAAATGAGACATTTGCTGGTGCCATCTGGCCCCTTGTCTGTGTGAGCTTGTTGGATCAGGCCATCCCGCTACGGCGGATGCTTTGTTGTCCTTAACTGTAGTCAACCACTGATGAAACTTTGTGAAACAGGCCATAAATCTGATGGTTCTGGGGAAAGGAAATCTCAGTTATCTCCTCATGAATTTGAGAATCTGCTGGAGCGGCTCTGGGCGGGTTTTGAGCTTTGAACTCAGATTTGCAAATAAGAGCTATCGATTTTATTTCGTTTTATCTTTCATTCCTTTTCAGTGTGTAGTCAAAACCTTCTTAGTCAGTCTTCTAACGGGGCTCGACAGGCAGTGCAAACCCCAGTACGCCACTGGTCGCTGAGGACCTCGGAAGCGGGCGCCGCAAGTGACAGGCGCCGTTGCCCTTGGCTTCAGCGAGCAGTAGGTGACCCCTCCCCGGGTTTCCTCACACCGCTATGGGGGTGTTGGTGGTGTTATTAGGGGTTCTGG